TTGCATTCCTATTCATCAAAGTTTTTATTCTTGCTTTCATCATGATCATCCTCAATCGCAAGTGTCTGAACAATAAAAATTATGAGTTTTCGACGTCTTTAGATGTTAAGTTACCTTTTTGACCGCGTTACATCGCGATCAAAAGTTTGATCGCGCTAACAATGTAGATATTGGGAATGGGTAGCAAACGAGTATCAAGCAAAAGGAGTCAAACTTGCAAACAAAACCCGGGGCCCATCCTATGACTCTACACATTTACCACTGCGCTTTGCGTCCAACTTGACTTCTAGCTTTGTCTGCGTTCACAATGATCCGGAAATGCGGAAACAGTTCTAGCACAGAGCTTGAAATGAGCGCTGTGCTGGAACCGCTTTCGGACTTCGAGATCAGTATACGCAGCCTTTGTCTAGATGGGCGATGATTTCTATTAAGCGCGGCGCCCACAACAGAATGATTGCCTTAACTTCGTGTGAAGACCGATAAGAAGATGCCGAAATCGGATATGTAATCAGGCCTCCATGGCGTGTTTAACGGTATACGGTTTGCTGGGATTGACCACTTCAGGTTTTGACCAATCCGTTGTAAGAAATAGTTGGTGAAAGTACAGCCTTCAAAAGCGCAAGATGGGAAAAGAGAGTTTTCTGGGCTAGAATTCCTCACTTAGGAGGTTTTTTAAAGCGGAATATCCGATGGTGAGAAAAGTAAAGAAGGAGTAATGCTTTGTGGGGTTATCTAAACAAACCGCTCACGAGTAACATGTTATCACCATTATCAGTATTACTCAATTACAACTCCCCTCCCTTTTTGGCACCTTATACAGTCCTCAGTTGTGGCGCGCCCTGCTCACGCTCGATCCTGGCCCTGCCCTTTTTGACGTGATCTTCGATGAGCATGTGCAGTTCTAAGATAGTCCAGCTAGTTTTGAGACAACGTCAAAAATCTCTCTCAGCTGCTCATCTGGTTGGCATAACAATCTTCCAAACGATTCCAATCTTTAGCTCTCAGTACTCTATAAGTTTGAGACTAGAAAATGTGCTGATTTATTGTTAACTTACCATATCACCTCCTGTAAAAATCTTCTTACGAGAGATTGCTGCATATGTGCTAGCCGCAAAGCTGAAAGGATTTTTTCTACCCTTTCATACACCGCGAATACCTATAAGCCTTCCACCAATTTTATACACGGTAAACCTTCCAGGGATACTACGAGAGGATGAGCGTTATACTATAGCGCTTGCCGCAAGAGACATCACACTTTCATAATTAATTCAAAAAATGCCTGAATTTCGCGTATGCGGTTCTTTTGTCGTCGCAATAGAGTAAGGATTTTCGAAAACAAAATCGCTCGATTTACTTCATGTCATCTGGCATCTTTATTTTTAACCGTATGTAAGCAATGCGATTGAAGCGCAATCTAAGAGCATATGGAAAGAAATATAGTCTCATTAGTAATTTCTTTATAAAACATATGCTCTGTCAGATGCGAAGTGAAACAACCTGCAACAACATGTAAATTAGTAAATGAGCAGCAGCTGATGCAATCACGGCACAAAATGTATCAAAATCTAAGACAACCAAAAAATGATTACCGAAAGAATAAAATTGAAAACATATACCGCATACGCAAAACTCAATATTTGCGAAAATCCGTCGAATGGCGCGAGGTTGCGACGCGGAGAAAACTGCCTTCTCCTTTGTAATATAACGTTAGGCCGCCAAATCAGTGTCCCAAAAATTGTGCACACGGTTTAGTTGCTAATATCTCTCTCGCTTTAATGTCTTTCTCATCCTTAAGTATCATTCTGTAGAACCGGCTTCAACTTATCCCGCTGTTCCTTACTGTAGGGTTGCAGGAAGTTTCGGCATGTGTTAGGTTGTCTTGAAAGTAAACTCCTTTTTTGAATAGTTCAAGCTGTTTTTGTTTTTCTAGTAAACCTAGGGTATCATTTGATAGAACAGATCAAGCTCTATAAAATGACTACAGAAGATACTCTCACTCCATGTAGAGTCTGAAGCCAAAGACCCAAAATAATTTTCACACCCAAAAAATGGATTTTGCGAGAAAGAATCCTTGATCTCCAACTTGGTCATTATACAAAAGGCACGTAGTAGTCTTAAATATCTTGATATGTCTTTACTGGATCTTTCCCGCGCAAAGGAAGCGAGAAAAAAAGATACTTCAAGAATGCTTCCCCCCCCCCCCCCCAGCCCCTCCCACATATGTCATTGTATACTACAAGCCTTACTTAGTATAATCTCAAAACTTTACCCCTGTCTTCATTTTTATAATCGAGAAATACCAAGTTTTATATGAAAAACTCGAAAAAAAGCCGTTTTGGCATTTTTATCTATTTTTGTTTCACAATTTTGAGCCCCGGAAAAAATCCACCAAACTCATTTTGGGGTAGCTATGTGTCTATTATATAGGGAAGTTCGAAGTCCATAGAAATTTTGGAAGAAAATCCGATTTTTAGAGTCGCTGAAAAATTTTGGTTTTTGGCTACAAATTTTATCTGGATTACGACTTAGGTGTATCTTTGGTGGTCTTTTCGTAGAGCTTGCTTCGCTCTATCGAAAGGCACCCCAAGTCTGCTAGGAACACAATAGCCCAATTTATTTGAAAATGGTACTTTTGGGATAACCTAATAGAATCACTATGAAGAAAGAATGCCCATCCTAAAAGATTTTGAAAAGAAAAAATCGAAAAAAAATTTTCTCATTTAAAAAATGGATTTTTGCGAGAATGATAGAATGATTTCTACGGACCTCCAACTTGGTCACTATACAATAGACACACAGTAGTCCCAAATATGTCTTTACTGGATTTTTTTCGCACATAGAAAGTGAAAAAAAGATACTTCAAAAATGGCAACTCCCCCCCCCCCCAGCCCCTCTGAATATATGTCATTGTATTACTACAAGCCTTAGTCAGTATAATCTTAGAACTTTAACGCTGTGTTTACTTTTATAATCGACAAATACCAAGTTTTACATGAACTCGAAAAAAAGCCGTGTTGGCATTTTTATCTATTTTTGTTTCACAATTTTGAGCCCCGGAAAAAATCCACCAAACTGATTTTGGGGTAGCTATGTGTCTATTATATAGGGAAGTTCGAAGTCCATAGAAAATTTTTGGAAGGAAATCCGATTTTTAGAGTCGCTGAAAAATTTTGGTTTTTGGCTACAAATTTTATCTGGATTACGACTTAGGTGAATCTTTGGTGGTCTTTTCGTAGAGCTTGCTTCGCTCTATCGAAAGGCACCCCAAGTTTGCTAGGGAAACGATAGGCCAATTTATTTGAAAATGGTACTTTTGTGACAACCTAATAGAATCATTATGAAAAAAGCCATCTGCCAAAATTTCTTTAAGATTGTGGAAAACTGCGTGGCAGAGTTTTCGCGCTGATTTCACCACACATTTTTTGGGAGCCTTTTGAGCGTTAGGGTAGTACGATTGCATTCTGAATTGGAAAGACAGTTGTAACGGGAAAATACTACTCATTAATCAAGCACTTCAGTGAAGTGTATTCCATACCTAAACTCTGCGACTCTTAATCTAGTGTAATAGAGTTTGTTTTGTTTCGTTTATTTTCCAAAAAGGAGAGGCAAAATATGGTTGGCAATATCCTAGAATCCTTCTCGAAGTTCCTACCTTATTCTGTACTAATGAAGAGCGATCGGAAATTCGCGTACGTTGGGTCTAATAAGGGAACGACCCCAAGTCAAGGTGGCCATTTGGACTGAACCGTGTATCGTTAAATGCGTTTTGATGAGCGATATTAGGTCTACCTTTCTTATCTGCGAAGCCGATCATTGGGAAAAGTTATGAGCTTTCAAAGATCCAAATTTGGCGAACATGCAGCGCCACATCCCCAAGAACTAGTTGTTCAAAAACACTTATCCGCGTCTCTGGTACATGTGAGCATCCCTTAAAACTAGTACACTATAATCTTGCTAGTCCTGCACTCCCAAGTTGGATCTTCTAGCACATCATGCATTAGAGGTCCAGTGATTCACAAGAATGCGGTTAAATGTGCGAATGCGGCCATTGCTCCGCAGCTTATCTGTGAAACAACCTCAATGGTTCCCCGAGCATTTGTCTAGATTTTGCCAACATTCTTCCAAATTTCCCCAAGCGGACAGCAAGAAATCAGCGAACTATTTTTCCGGTGCCCGCTTGCCTATGAATCGCATGACCGCTTGCCCCCCGCGATTATCTGAGGTAGGTGTATTTGAACGATAGTCCTTGAGGATGTGGCGCTACATGTTTACCTATGATAGCTATGGAAAAATTGAACCTATGATAGCTTAGAATTTTTTTTCCACAGTCCGGCATCTCTAATAAGGAAGGTGGTTTGGATCAAGGCAAAACTTTTGCGTACCAAAGCAACTCTTTTGATAAAGGAATCTCGTTTGAAAAGATAGTGACAATAGCACCTCTCCAACCTTCAATTACTATCTGATCATCCTTTTTCATTTCGTTCAATTCCTCCTTTTGTCATCATGTCCAGGCAAATTGACCAAAAATTGCTAAGCTCTGCTGTGGCTCAAAACAGTTCAATTATGAATGGTCTATAGCTTTGCAGTGTCAAAGGAAAATATTAGCAACCGAGAACTTTTGGGTAGAGCATGATCAAACAATCTTTTTTGCATCTTCTCCGAAAAGACAATCATCGATATTTTTGTTTCAAAGAAAAAAAGCTGATGAATTCACCATTATTGAACCATTCATAAAGCGAGATAGTTGATGACACAGTTGTGTGTACTTTGCACAACTTTATCAGGCTTTTATTTTTGACATAATCTGCGACATGTCTCTTACAAATGCCTAAAAATTACATAGCAGAGAAATCGAGATTATCGTAATCTCGTAAGTTCCCTTGTACCCAAAAAAAACATATGTTTTTTTGTCAAATTATGTCAAAGAAGTTTCGCTTGTTCGTCTTTTTATCAACCGCTCTATGTACGGCTTACTTTTTCAAAGTATTTTTTTCCAGAGGCTTTACGTCAGTTCGACAAGAATGAGATTTTTCAACCTTACCTTGTTACTTACCATCTTAGTGGTATGTTGACCAAACAAGGCATGACTTAGTTTGCGACTTTACTCCTCAGACTTATTGACTGTACATCACTTCAATGCTTACAGATTCTCTCTGCTGTGGACGCTTCTTGGTTTCTTTCAAGATTCAAGAAATTTAATCGCCGGGGCAGGAATAGAAAACTTGGCGAACCTGCTCCGATCGGAGTGGAGGAAATTCAAGATGGAAATTAAAGCACCCAAAAGAATTTGATATTTCGTATTCGATTGTCGATAAACCTTGGCATTGTGATTCAAGTTGTAATACGGTTTTTAAGCTGTCGATCAGAATTGGTAGCAAGACTTTATTACGCGATAAGCCAACGTTTCGGCAGTCCGTCCGCATTCTTCAGGGCTTCTTGAAAAATCGAGAATTTGAGAATTGACCGCTCAAACGCCCTGTTTGGCACAATGGATATAGTTTAGACTAGCTGGCTTACCCGGCTCCGCCGTATGTTCCGATTAGAAAATTCCATTTCTTAACCGATCCGGACCAAGCTTGGCACACATACACTTCGGGCCCCGGCGGGTGTCATAGGCTACTTTTCGTCATCGATCGATGTCGATTTTATCGATTTTTTGCAAAATTTGAGCTAGGGGGCTGAAATTTGGCAGAGGGGTGTAATCGAGCATGCTGATCACCCCCACGGGGGTGATCAGCATGCTCGATTACCCCCCCCCCCCCCTGTGCCAACTCCCAGCCCTGTAGCTCAAATTTTGCAAAAAATCGATAAAATTGATATTGATCGATGACGAAAAGTAGCCTATGACACCCGCCGAGGCCCGAAGTGTATGTGTGCCAAGTTTGGTCTGGATCGGTTCAGAAATGGAATTTTCTATTCAGAACATACGTACATACATACAGACATACATACAGACATACATACAAACAGACATTCAGCTTTATATATAAGATTTGTGATGGAGTGGCAGAATAGATGGAAAACCTGATTTCAGCCTTGCTAGATTGGAATATAGAGGCCAAATAACCAGTACGGCGCTGCAGCTGCGCGAGTGATTATGATAGTCAGTGTCAACAATGTCCTTTACATAGTTATGAAAGATCTTGTATCAGATCATTATTGGTGTTTTAGACGCTACGCTAAAGGCCTCCAACGTTTTGCGGGTTATTATAACTCTAATTCGTGCGACAAGATCTTAATAGTAACTTGAAAGTACTGGTTCTCATGAAATGATGTTCTCATCTTCGAATGTGCACCCAAAGGTGTGGACATTTTCGATTTTTTAAGGACCGTCAAGATGCTCTTTTTTTGTGCACAAGGGTCTGCCGGTCTTTCCTATGTATTGGTCACCGCATTTTTGACGAGTTTATGAGATATACCACTCCTAATTCCATGCAGTCGCCTAGTTTCCCAGTCAGATGATACAATCGGCTCGCGCACATTCTGTCATACGCTAGATTGCGGCTAAGTTGTTTTTTTTTTTGAGATCAGGAGCAGAGGTGCGATAGTGGGGGCCGATTCTCCCCCTACCTTCACTTTTGAGCTGGTTCAGGATGACCACCTTCACTTTTGGAATAAAAATTTTTCGCTGGACGATAAAGAAGGAAAATAAACAAAACAAACGCAAAAAAGATTATTGAAAACATATATTTATGTATACGGCGGCATATATATTTAAAATAAACGTGCTCAGCAAATGGTGTATTTGAAAGTAAAACTGAGCGAAACTGTACGGATTTTATTAAGTAAATTTTGTCATAACATACTGCGAAGGAAGTAGGTCGATCTAGGCAGTAATGGCCGAGAACCAGAATTTTGAAAATTTAAATAATAAAAAATCATGCGAAATTTTCACCGTTATAAATCTGTTGTTTGAAGATGTCAGCAGTTGCGTCTTCATAGGTTTTAAAGAGTAAGTGGTCCTCTTTCAGCTAGTGAAAGAATCGAGTGGATTTGAGAGATAGTCGTTGAAAACTAGAATTCTAAACATTTACGCCATTTTTGCGTGTTTTTTGACAGTTGACAGTTAAAACTCATATAAATCTTGAATGTGAAAGTGTGTGATGTTGCGACTTTATAGGTTTTATAGAGTAAGGTTTGCCTTATCAGGATATATCTTAGCCGTTTCGATCCATTGAAACACCTCCGAGATCCAGAGTCTTGAAAAAGCAGGTAAAAAAGCGCTTTTTAAAATTCGACAGCTCATAACTTCTTCAAAACTGAATGAATCATATTGCGACTTCATAGATTAGATTCTTCTCATCAAGAGCTTTCAGACTATATATAATATGTGGGGGTTTAGAACCTCCTACGAATTATGCCCGTGGGGGGAGCCATTTCATACCAAAGTCTCCCACCTCCAATACATTAAAGTGGGCTAGGGGGGGGGGGGGGCATAATTCGTAGGAGGTTCTAAACCCCCACATATTATATATAGTCTGAAAGCTCTTGATGAGAAGAATCTAATCTATGAAGTCGAAATATGATTCATTCAGTTTTGAAGAAGTTATGAGCTGTCGAATTTTAAAAAGCGCTTTTTTACCTGCTTTTTCAAGACTCTGGATCTCGGAGGTGTTTCAATGGATCGAAACGGCTAAGATATATCCTGATAAGGCAAACCTTACTCTATAAAACCTTTAAAGTCGCAACATCACACACTTTCACATTCAAGATTTATATGAGTTCAACTGTCAACTGTCAAAAAACACGCAAAAATGGCGTAAATGTTTAGAATTCTGGTTTTCAACGACTATCTCTTAAATCGACCCGATTCCTTCACTATCTGAAAGAGCACCACTTACTCTTTAAAACCTATGAAAACGCAACTGCTGACATCTTCAAACAACAGATTTATAACAGTGGAAATTTCGCATGATTTTTCACTATTTAAATATTCAAAATTCTGGTTCTCGGTCATTACTGCCTAGATCGACCTACTTGCTTCGCGGTATGTTATGACAAAATTTACTTAATAAAATCCGTACAGTCCAACAAACTTTTGCTTCCAAATACACCATTTACTAAACACGTCTATTTTAAATTTTTATAAATAAAATTTATAAATATTTTTAATATTCATCGTATCTGTGGCCCTAAAGAGGGCCGTTGGGTCACAGTCCGACCTAGGAGGATAGCTCTGTTCCTCCGTTCTACCCCCCCCCCCCCTCCCCCCCATCCCGTCGACGTTTTTGGGAGGTGAGTGTCCGACACTATCACCTTCATTTTTGGCCGGCCAGTGGTAGCTGGGACCACCTTCACTTTCGGTGGGCCCCGCTCCCCCCATCGCACCTCTGGCTGGGAGTTGGGACAGGGGGGGGGGGTAAGTGAGCATGTGGATTCGAATACAATATTAGTTTTCAGAATTATCGATTACTTTTATCAATTTTATCGATTTTTTGTAAAGTTTGACCTGTGGAGCTGGGAGTTGGCACAGGGGGTAATCGAGCATGCTGTTTAGGCCCCGGCCAGACTTCATGCGATTTGACTGAGAAATTTTGTCTTGAATTCTGGCGAAGATTCCACAGAAACCTTTTTTTCAAGGTACAAAAGGCTATGAAAACGCAAATTTTCGATTTCCTTGAGATAAGCTAAAGATATTATCTTATTTATAAAGCTGAATGTGTGTGTGTGTGTGTGTGTATATATATATATATATATATATATATATGTATATGTTCTGAATAGAAAATTCCATTTCTCAACCGATCCGGACCAAACTTGGCACACATGCACTTCGGGGCAGGGCGTCATAGGCTACTTTTCGTTATCGATCGATATTGATTTTATCGATTTTTTGCAAAATTTGAGCTACAGGGCTGGGAGTTGGCACAGGGGGGTAACGAGCATGCTGATTACAAATATATTATTGACAGGCGCGGGCGGAGCCGGGTTTGCCAACTAGTTTCCTATATTTGCTTCATTAACATTCTTTCTGATACAGTCAGGATAATAACATCCGGGGCGAAGCCCCGGATGACTTCTGCTTTTTTTTCAGGTGAAGGTTGTGTCCCCCCATAGCCCTCAAAGTGAAGGTTACCAGAGTACGTGGCTCTATGTATCGAGGGTATGGTCTGTCTGTCTGTCTGTCTGTACGTATGTATGTATGTATGTATGTATGTATGTATGTATGTATGTATGTATGTATGTATGTATGTATGTATGTATGTGTGTATGTATGTATGTATGTATGTATGTATGTATGTATGTATGTATGTATGTATGTATGTATGTATGTAATGCTGGGAATTGGCACAGGGAGGTAATCGAGCATGCTGATTACAAATATATTATTGACAGGCCCGGTCGGAGCCGAATTTGCCAACTAGTTGCTTCTATAATAAACTTTTCGTCCCCTCCCAACGCCTTGTTCATCCGGCCGAATGTCCGGACTTAGGTGATGAGTTAACACGTTTCGGACCGCGAAATCGCGCAAGGCGAAAAAGAGTATACTTTCAACCGTTAGCCAACGAAGAGAAGTTCTTTCGTAGACTGTGTGCTATATTTGTAATCAGATGTCAGATAAGCTCGATACCGAAAGTTTTGAGAGGACTCTAAGTGTTTGCATTTTGTCGCTTGAGAAAGACTTCTGTGTTTTCTTGAAAGATAGTGACAACAACTCAATTTCAAATAGTGTGCAAAAGTATCTATGTTGCACGCAGCACACATCATTATTAAAACTGCAGTTTTTCTCTTTGAAATGGAAGCAAAGAAAAGTTGCGACGTCGCACGCGTCGTTCGCGTTGCCGCACTTTGTTGCGACTGTTGTTCGATTTGTCCTCATATCTCCTAAACAAATATAGATGGCACAACTCTACAGAGTCATTTGAAAAGGAGAAGCTTAGGCCTTTGACTTGATTATCTTGGATTAGATGAAACCCTCCTGTAAACGTTAAAAAGATCGTTCAAATAAAGCGTGCTGCACCATGTCACCGGTCCGAAACGTGTTAACTGAGTACAGTGATCCTTGAAACTGGGGAAAACTAAGGAACACGGCAGGATTTTATAACAACAGGGTTATCCTATGCAATAAATGAAATGAAATGAAAACGATTCGATTAGAAATTAAGAAGATACGATTGCCAAAACTGCGTAACCTACGCACGCGAAAAACGCAATTGTGACGATTTTATGAATGTCCTACATCTATAACTATTATCATGTAATGGCTATACACATATCGGCATTTTTGAAATTGCATACACTGTTATGAGGTTTTTATTGTAATTATGCATGTATGAACAACAAGAAATAGTTGTGATATAAAGATATATGTACGAATCTGAGTTTAGTAATCCCGCATGATTGGCGTATGGCTTCGATCGCGTGATGCTAGGAAGGCGCTGACTCCATAGAGGCATGCGAGAATGAAGGATAAAAACTGAAAATGGAGTCTTTGTTGATGAAGGATATGTCATAGTTATAAGTCTGTATAGTATAGTCTGTTCCATTCCGAATCAGGCCAAAACCATCTTACAAGGAAACGATACTTGATGTCCGTGGCCTTTTAAGAGAAAATGTATACCATTATACTCGCCTTCGAACGCTAATTCCGAATCTGACTTCCGTTTCTGCTAATCGTTTCTCTGAAAAAAGTTATGAAGGATTTTCCCTCAAGTTTGGCTCCGAGGGAAATACAATAACATCAATGTCATGCTGTGGTGTAATGGAGAGTGCGATGGCCTCACAAGTTTATGCATATGTAGGTACAAATCCTTTTATGCTCTACAGTTCCGATCGTATTCCTCTTGATATTGTGTTCCTTTGTATTTCCTTCGGTAGGCCAAACTTCGCCCGAAAATCCCCCATAACTTTTTTCAGAGAGACGATTAACAGAAACGGAAGTCAGATTCGGAATAAGGGTCCGAGGACGAATTTAATGGTATACATTTCATCTCAAAAGGCTACGGACACTAAGTATCGTTTCCTTGTTAGCGGGAGTCCGCGTCCCTAGGGTTTTGTGTGACGCCTACGGTCAGCTTGTCTGCTCTCTCTTCAGCTTCTTCGCTCCCTCCGACAGTGCGCATATGCTAGCTAACCCTAGCGCTGCGAGCGCGCAGAACCTACAAGCCGGATTTCCAGAACGGTGATTAAATGAGCGCGCACAAACGGGCGGGCATGGATGGGGAGGGGCGGGCGTGGATGGGGGTTCTCGTGCATCTTCGCTATTCCGAAGCAATTTTCTCGCTTCCGAAGCGGCATTTTGCGCCGTGACTTGGGCGTTGGCTTGATAGGAGGCCCTACTCTTAAATGCTGCCAAAAGCTCAACACCCTCAACTTAGGGTGGACGATGCCTTTAACCAATTGACGACGAGCCTAATTCTACGTGGCGGTGCTGTAGGACGACGCAGTTTTGCACAATGTTTTCGGTGTGGGGAAAATTGGTCATTTACGAAATGTAAAGTTATTTTGTAATCAACTACAATCTTCTTCTTCGACGGCGGAGTCTACGGTTCAGAGAGTGCAAAAAACTGGAAAAAATACTGAACTGCGAAGAAGATTAGACCTGGAATGATATCCACGAAAGTCCATTTAAAAATGGGCTTTTCGCGAATGAAAAGCGAATAAAATGGGCTTAGTCCCTGCGGTTCGATAAGGTATTGCATTCGCGAATCCATTTATTCTACACCAGTGCGTCACCTCTGCTTCGCAGAGGTTCGCACTGGCTCTACTATCTATGTGCCTTACTCATTCTCGTAAAATCGTGGCACTGGAACTCACCGCGCTATGCCGACTACCACGAATAAATTGTAAACAACCACTCATTTAGAAAGTTTTTTCACGTGAGATCGGTGATTTCGCGTGGATGAAACTTTTCGCAGGAAGATAAACGCAAATTTGAATAGGTTTTTGGATTTGTCATGACTTGGTAGTCGCCATAAAGGTAATGATAACCGTGAGCTACATCTCTGTGCGAAATTCTTCTCAAACGCTTATCTAGAACCTTGGCAAATTGACCATTTACACAACCAATTCGTTATGGCGCCGTTTTCGTTATGTAGTGAACTTTCGACCACTTTTCTGGCTAAACTTCATCGCTTGCACATTTGCTTACCAAACTCATCCACGACTCTGCAAAAAGTGGTGATACGGAACGACTTTTGCGGTACAGAAGCCAGGTGGACCCGTTTGGCGCGCAATTTCTGGGATCCACTCAACGAATCTACTCGTGCTTTTGCATGTTGGACTTTCATGAAGGTAGCATGCGCCATGCAAAATTTGGGCTCAAGACATTAGCTGGAACACGCTCCACGAATTTCGTAACAGACAGACACACACACACACACAAAGTCACGTAAACACCCTTAGCCCGTTATTATAATGATAAAAATGTCTTAGCAAGCCTTTCTCCAACTTGTCTCAACCTGTTTACTCACTCTCGCAAACTCATTTCCACCAAGTGGTCGATATCCAACTAGGCTAACCTAACATTACAATGTCAATCATTTGAATATTCGTTCTTTCACAATCCATTACACCACCAAAATCCCGTTTACTATCTATGACTATCCATCTAGGTAGAGCACTGCTACTTCAACAAAAATCCATGTAATATCCGGTCCTTCGCTTTTAAGACCTATGAATCTGCATTGAATCAACTTCGTATGCAGAGCTTTTTGCAGAAAGCACTGGCTAGAATTGCACTGCAATTTGTAAATCGAAAGCTTATCTCATAGGGAACTGTACTACAGCACAAGCCAAAAGTTTTTTTGGGTCGAAAAAACTACGACGTGCAAAAAAGATGACTTCGCCAATGTTCTACTTCAGCTCTTCTTTCCCTAGCATTATGTTTATATCTCTAAATAGGAACAACTGCCAAACAACATTTCAGTCTCATATGTCGCCATTTTTTAAGATAGTAATCCGAAAACTAGCTATATATTTATGGCAAATTTTTCTCTGCACTAACTTAGGTAGTCAATCTCCTAGGGAAACGCTTAAACAAAAAGTTACAAAAACGTCATCCTGCAGGAAAAATACTCTTATTACTACATTTTTTCATAAGAACATAGGGGAGGGGCAGCGCAGAAATTTTCTTGAATGAAAAGCCGAAAAATTTCGAAAATTACTAAAAAATCTCTTGAGCTCCACAACTTTTCAAAGGCCTATAACCCTAAAATTTCTTAGAGGGAGCATGGAAGCAGTCACGGCTTTAATTTTACAAAGTCAATTTGATTTATTAAAAAAATGAGAAAGTCATTTTGATTTTCTACGAGTAAATACTAATCACTTGTACAATTTTACGGTTCATTTTAGATAAGCTTCAAAATTTGCAGACCTTTTTTTTTTGGGGGGGGGGGCTACCATTCCTCGCTGCGCCACTGGTTCTGGGTAGGGACTTGCGAACTTATTGAACGTATTATTCAGAGAAAGGAGAGAAGCAAGACTGGGGGGATCAGCTCTGTGGTTGAAATTACTTATGAATTACTGTATTAACGATGACGCCGTTAGTGGCATCAGAGGAGGGACGGAGGGCAAGAATTCAAGTTTCTTTTCGCGAGCCAATGTCATATACATTTGCAGCTTGCTAGGAGGTTGATGAAAATAAACTATCCTGCCACAAGGTCAAGGAACGAAAGTCCTATTAAGACGAAAAATGAACTTGAAAGCATGAAGACTGTTACAGAATGAATAAGAATTAAGCAAACTCCGCCTGGAAAGGGAGAAAATCAATCATGAAGCAGCTTTGCTGAAAAAAATGTTTATATGCAAAAAATGTCATCTAGTAGCAATAATGTAAAGTAAACTAATAATGTCTGTAATCTTTGTGAGAGATAAAGGCCCGTAGTAAAGTACCGTCAGGGCATCTCCCCTGAGGCGGACCGGAGTTAATATCTTGGCGCCTCAGTCCAGCATCCGGCGAGCTATTGATCTAGATGCAGATCGCTTCCTGGACAATATGATCAAGTGCGTTCTCGAGAAAACGGCTACTTGAGTCGATTTGGTTAAATGGGTAAGCCATTGGAATTACACGCGCGCGGCCGTGGTTCGATTCCGCCTAGCGACACAACTTTTGCTGCATCGCCGGGCAATCTTTGATAGCGGCCACTATCCAATCGATGATGACCGCTATCAAGGATTTCGCCTAGCAAACACAAAGATAAAACAAAAAAACATTTCGTTACGAAAATTTCGCGACAAAACGAAATGGTTACAACGTGAGTTCAATGAAATGAACAAATGAGTCCTCGTTTTGGACAGCTTCAAAAAAAAACCAGTGTAGTTTACAAAAAAGAGAAGAATTTGTTTTTTTTTTCTGTCTTCCTCGCCAAAATCAGCTGTTCATCGATCCTCTCCTTTTCGGGCGCGGTTGTGCAATTTTGCGCTTATTTTGTCCGCAGTGTTAGGCAAATTGCTGTGTATCGTAAGTTACTCAGGAGCAACTTACGAAGATTTTTTCTGCGTTTCCTCTTTAGCACACTATTTCTGGACATCATCGCTCATATCATCTCCCATGACCCGGCAGGGGAGATCATCTCCCTGCCGAACTTCACCTGAGGCTCACCTCTCAGGTGACCTTGCATCCCTATAGCATGGGGATATGGGCGGTCGTCATTTTACTGGCAAAACCTCACATGAAGGTCTCAGGGGAGATCATCTCCCATGATCGAGCTTTACTACGGGCCAAAGTGTTGATAAAGAAAAAAACAAACAGTGTTGTTGAACATGAATCTATGAGGATATATTAAGTGGGACCGAAAGTTCGTTCGCACCATTTCCAAGAAATCATAAATTCTGATTTTTCAACCGATTTGACCGCTTTTATCTTTACGTGAAAGGGTAAAACATGCTCTTTATAATATCTCCTTAATTGCTTGCTATTGATCATCTGTTGCATAGATAGGAGCGGTAGAAGAAAATTAGTCAAAATTTGAATTTCTGTGTAGGGTCATGAAAAATCAGAAACTTGCAAAAAAATTCGGAGCAGTCAGTATTGTAGGTTTTTTTTACCAGCTCTTTCTAACTGTAAAAAGTTTGCGCCGATTGAGCGTTTCTATGAAAAGTTACGATTTTCCTGAAAAATGCCAAAATAAAATCGAATTCGCCCTTTTGTATTGCTTACTCGGAAATCGTAACTTTTCATAGAGACGCTCAATCGGCGCAAACTTTGCACAGCTAGAAAGAGCAGGTAATAGAATCTATAATGCCGACTGCTCCGATTTTTTTTGCAAGTTTCTGATTTTTTATGACCCTACACAGAAAACTGAAATTTTGACTAATTTTCTTCTACCGCTCCTATCTATGCAACAGATGATCAATATCAAGCAGCTAATGGGTCGTTATAGAGAGCATTACTTACTCTTTCATACTAAAATAGAAACAGTCAAATCGGTTGGAAAAAACAGAAGTTATGAATTTTTGAAAATGGTGCGAACTAACTTTCGGGACGACCTAACAGTTGCGCTTTCGACCACGTGGGTTAACCAACTGTTTTTTTTTTACAACATTATACAAAAAACTCATTTTTATTATCTTGAGCAGTTTCTATGGGCTGTTTTCGAGCAGATAAGCTAGAAAATACAAATTACGTCAAAGCAAAAGCTTATTCTAAAATTTCCATGTGTTTCATGCACCTTTTAAAAAAGTTCATTTTTAAGCATTTACAGAAAAGCTGTAACTTTTTTCTTTGGTAAATCACCCTAAAATAGACCAAAAAACATACTCGCAAAAAATTGAAGCTCAAAATGGACAAAAAGGTCAAAAATGGACTTAGTCCCAGCACATCTCGCTGCTGGGAGTAAAATGGGCTTATCAGAAAAGTAGCGAGGATAGAAGATGGAGGTAAACTCCATTTTGCCCCATTTTATAATGGACTTTTGACGTCATCATCCGCGAGCGATAGCTGAAGTAAGGTTGAGTCTTTTTCATTTCACTGCTTTGCCTCGTGGCTGCGATGAGATGAAAAATTTTGGATATCGCAAGCGAGAACCAATTTCAACCACTTTCTATCGCGTACGAATAAAATGGACTAAGTAAGTCCATTTTCCTCCATAATGGACTTTCGTGGATATGAGTCCTGGAAGGGCATGGTTTTGCGAGGGGTGGGCCGTGGTGGTTCACATCGCCGCTGGCGACAAAAAGTGCGTAGGCCACCGTGGTCCACATCGTCGTCAATGGGTTAAACTATTACGCGCCCAGACTTTAGAGTTTGTTCTCGCTTCAATTCATGCTCGATTGAATTTTCGAACGAGTCATCACGCGTGTAACCGCCATAACCAGTTTTCTCCTCTGTCGCTATGCTAAAAGTTTCGCTCAATTTAAGTGTTAGCTTTGATCAGATAAAGGTGAAGAATTGACAAATTAACCTTTGGAAGAGCTTTACGCCGCCCTACGCTGGTTTCAAGGTTGTTCGTACCCGCATAGTTTCAGCGCCACGGAACCCCGGTGGAAGTCGATCAATACGCAGTGCGTCCGCGTAGGTCCCGGCACGGCGCTGGCGCCGAATCAACTCTACACGCTGCCATAAGTGTGGGTGGTTGGCGCAAAAAAATTTGGGAAGTTACGGTGCAGATGTTTATGGATTATTTATATAATATTTGGATAGTATTTCAATTAGGATTTTTTGCATCGGCCGAAAATGATGCAAAGAAATGAGGAATTTGAACCAGACTTTGCGGACATAAACATTGAGGCGGGAAATTTGTTAACAGGCTATTTTCGCCAGCAGTTATATACATCATCGATTTATTAATTTCCTCGTCGTTTTCTTTGCATTTTTCTCATGACCGGCCTAAAACGTTAGAAAGATTCGAGATGTAGACCAAATCGGCCACATAAGCATTGGGGCGGGGCATATGTTTAAGCATTTTCACCGACATTGTTGTATAATTGGCTTCATCATTTTATTGATTTTTTTTTCAATCTCGCCCGGCAAGCTAAAAATGGCTGAACGGGTAAGTGAGCATGCTTATTACACATGAATGACAGAACAGTTTGCATACTTTCCTCATTCTCAGACAGTCGGTGCCGTAGTCGCGGCCGACAGTCGAAATCTGGCAGAGCCGCGGAGGACTCAATTGACCAACTCAGACAGTCGGTGTCGTAGTCGCGGCGGACGGTCGAAATCTGGCAGAGCCGCGGAGGACCCAATTGACCAATGAGAGCGGGGCGAGGGGGCGGTCCCTTCTTGTAGGTCACGGTGACGTAACAAGCAGGCGAATGGGATCCTTCTCCGGGACGCGCATTTTCTGCTCCGGAGGTACGTCAGATTTGGGAGAGCCCCGGAGCAGAGATTTGCCCGCCGCGAGTGCGCCAGATTTGGGACACCTCCGGAGCACAAATGGGGGGTCTCCGGAGCACAAATGGGAGGGCTCCGGAGCAGAGAATGGGAGGTCTCCGGAGCACAATAGGTACGCAGCCAATTTGCTGTGATACGCAGCTTAGCATTTTCGAAAATAAGCTGCCGTCGCTCTCGACTTACCCTTTTTTTGTCGTTTCGCGCTCGTTTTTCTTTTTTTTGGTTTTTCGTGTTACTCGTCGGCACGTTGACGTTTATTTGTTCGTCTCCTTCTTTTCAGGTTTCAGGTTTTAGGTTTTCGTGCGGATGCACTTAGTCACTTTTAGTGCTTGGCTATCGTTTTCGATTTACTGCTGTTTTTCCGCGTTTACACAGCAGGTGTGGTGACATAATACTTGCGTAACCTTCTCCATTTTATCTAACATTACTTCCTATGCATTTTTAGGCAAGATGTTATATTTCAGTCTTTCTACGTCTGTCGTCCCCACACCCATCCCTATCGCACCCGTCCTCTCTCTCCAAGTATCTGGGCTACAACCGTTCTCACCACTATTGCTGTCGTCTTCTACGTCCTGATGATAGTGTTTTGCTGCATACCGTGCAGCTTGAGTAGTGACATCAAATTTACAAGGGGAAATGACTAAAATTTGCCGTTTTCACAAGCAATGTTTTTCTTTTTATAGTTATTTAATCCATACATCGCCGGCTCACCGCTGGATGCAGAATTCGCCTTGCATTTTTACAAGTAATTGCCTTGTTTGAAGATGAGAACCTTTCTTTAAGCGCGGTACTTATCTTTCCTTATGCAATTTCTTATTGTCCTCGTTGAATTCAAAAATTCAAAATATTGTCATTCAGGGGCCCTATTGCTTACTCTCTCAATGGATGCTGTGTAGTTTTATTTTTTTCTGTGCTAGGAAGTGTGCTACTCATGATGAAGTTGGCGAGTTTATCTGTTGAACTCGTTTTCCTATCAGGAAGCATGGAAACATTTGCTTTGATGGTTTTTCACATTATGCGTTAACGTCAAAACTAAAATGTGTTTCTTCACCTACCTCTCATCCTTAGAAAAGGCATGAAATTAAGGAAAAAGCATCTTTGCATTCTATTATCAGTAAATTGTCCATGTGTTTTGCTTCGTTAGGAAGACGATCTGAAGAAGTGCTTTAGTAGTTCAAGATGTTGGTTCTGAACTTCCTTTTGCATTTGGTGTGCAATGCCTCAACTTCGGGGATGCGACTCTTACAGATGTGCGTCAGCCCACGTACTGGTACTCAACGGGAGTACTTCATCTTTCCAATGATGGTGGGACGTCTCCTCAGCTCTGCTCTAGCTACATTGATGCCATCTATAGGCGCAGATCAAATTATCATTGTTGTTCTACTTCCAATGCACCACTTATTGTGTTATTTCCGCTTCTTGGTAATCGCTTCGGAAGGCGGCCAGGTACAGTCTTTTCATTAGTTTTTGTGGGAGTTTATAGTGCATTTGCCGATGTGGCAACATTTTTGGGATAACAAATGCCATAGTAAAATATAATTAATGATATTATTTCAGTGTCGCATTTTATCTCCAGTACCGGTTTGCTGCCGTTGGATTAATGCTGGTTGCGTTCAGCAAAGTAGCTATGGGTAGACATTATGTATGCATTTTGCAGTAAATTGTTTGCAGTCAGTTTGAAATAAATTCTTGTCTCTTCATTCTTTTATTTTTTATCTACAAACGCTAGGGGTGAGAGGGAGGGGGTAGAGTACGGGGATGAGGGTCGCGCTGAAGTCCTACGGGGGGGGGGTCGTATTCGGCTAATTTGGGTGGGGTTTAGAGACATAATTGAGGTTTGGAGCTCAGTTGGGGCTAGTTACAGTATGCCGCGGCAGACCTGCGGAGCAGAAAATCGAAGGAGTCCGGCGCACAAATAGGAGGTCTCCGGAGCACAAAAGGGGAGGACTCCGGAGCATAAATGGGAGGTCTCCGGAGCACAAATGGGAGGGCTCCGGAGCACGAGGGGCAATCCCCAGCTGAGGAAACCCCGCGGCTCGGCCATTTCTGCTCCGGAGGTATGCCGTCGACTGTCTGAGTTGATCGTTTCTATCGATTTACTGATTCTTTCACACCTATGCCGGTTTCATTACCGCATAGCAGCAGCAGGGTGGCTAGTGACTTAAGAGAGCTTACCGAAGCAAAAGCCCATTCATAGATTAGCCTGCATCCGTTGTGTATCAAACCATCGGAACCAATATCATTGCAGTTATTCGACCAACTTCCGGTTGAATAGTATGCTTCGACTATGGCAAGAATGATGAAGGAAAAGCAACAAGTGGCGGAGAACACCAGATCCTGAAGCTTTTTTCCTAATTTTGAATCTCGAAAGACACTACAACCTATCTCAATCGCAATGTCAAGTACATCAACAGCTCAGTTTCCCACGGGGTCACCTCGCTTGGCCTCTGCGCCGCGTCTGCGACTTGTTCGGGCATTTTTGCCAAGCCTCAATCGATGGCACCGGCGCAAACATGGAGTTTTCTTATACAATTCATTTCATTTCCTTTGCTCCTATGTTGCTTCGTCACGCAATTAGAAACTTTTTGGACGCTACTGGAGGCTAAGGGCGCGTGAATGCGTAAAAACGAATGAAATGGCTGAGAAAACTCCATGGTTGCGGCGACGCTGATCGAGAGATGGTAGAGTGCGTCGATGCGTCGCAAACGCGGCGCAGAGGCTAGGTGAGGCGGCCTCGCGAGACCGCAATGGCAATGTCGAGCTGCTGTTGCACCCGACATTGCTAATGAGATAGCCTGGAAGTACTCTCACCGTAGTTCTCCAGGGCCAGAAATCTAGATGGGTCTCATTCAAAGTGAAGAAGTAGACGATAAGAAAGATGAAAGTGAAACACATGGCTACACCAGCGAAAATCAACAGCAGAGTTTGGCCAAATAATACACCTAAAAGTAATAACTAGGTTTCAACATATCTTCAAGAAAATTACCTTTAAAGGGTCCTGGACCGAATACTGACGTGATCAGAGATATCACAATCAAGCACAATAACTAAAAAACTATGTTCCTGCGGCTTTCACTGACACAACACGGAAGAAAACTTACTATTTCTAAAATACGAAGGCAGCCATAAGGTCCACAACAATAATATTTGTTTGTTTGTCCCATACCACAGCCGTAGACTTTATCCTGGAATGTACGATTGAAGGCACCGCCCACCCAAATCCTAGGTTGATGAGATTTGATACAATACAATAGCAGTCAAGTATATGCCCGATGCCCACTGTAGAAGGTGTATTCCGAAGCGAGAAAAACTCCTCAGAAGGTGGGCGCTAGTGAGGTCGCCACGCCCACTAAGGTGGGTGGTTTGAAGATGGTGATCCCAAGTCAGACGCAATAGTCCCTATCCGAAATCTGCCATTTATTGGGAGAAACCTACTTCCGACATGAAGTTATTCAGCTTTGGGCTCTTACTTTTATGAACGTTGTTGGGCATGGCAACCCCGGCAGCAACTATCTTCCGATTCGATTTTTTCGCTTCGGAATACATTTTTGGTAGTGGGACTTGTACAACTAATTAGTTAGGGTCCTCGCTATTGTACTGTAACAGAATCTCCCTATTTGAGTGAACGGTGCCCTTTGAAAAATTGCTTTGATCTCACCTCAGCATATTTAGTCTGTGTTCGTGTAGTTGTTGTAAGATAGGTCCCATCTGGTTGCTGCGTTGTATAAACCTCACGTCGTTCCATATCTTCTAAAATAGAAAATTTTCTAATGAATCCCGATCAAATTAATCGGCTACTCGCTGCTGCGATAGAAAATCAAATAATTACAAAATCCACTTTTTTGAAGTAACAACGTAAAGATGAGGAAGAAGTGCTCCAAAAATGTTGATCGGAATGAAAAACGAAAATTTCTCATAGTGAAGTTTGGGCGTGGACTCGCGAGTGGTAATGTGGTGGAAGTGCAGAAAGTTCCATAGAATTTGATTTCATGATTTATGACTTAGCCTCTACATGAGAAGAGTTTTTCTGACGAAATTCGTGTTAATTGAATGTATCTAGAGTATTCAGGGTATCAGCACTAAATCTTTGATTTTGTTCTACTTGAAGTAATATTATTGAATCGCTGCGTAAATTTCGTATTTTTAGTTTTTAAAGGATTAACTCGTATAATTCTATAATATTTTTGATCCGGTTCCAGTACACCATTCAATAGAGCAAACATGCTCTACCAATTACCACCCAAATAATTGCATCAAATTCAGTCCACGCAAAGTTTGAAGCCAAAGAGCAAAAAGAAACAAAAAACACAAGGTAAGGATAATAAAATTGTTAGAAAATTAAATTAATGAGATCAAATGATCAAATGCATGCACGAAAAATTGAAAAAATCAGGACGGTCCAGAAAAATTTACAATTTTGCAATTTGCCTAAGAAATAGATTTTTTGCATCAGGCATTCATGCGCACGATTGCTGTATTTCTCCTCATCTAGAAATCGAGACAGCATTATGTTCTGGCCAAAACAGTACCGAGGCTCCCACATACAGGGTCTCCCAAAAGTCTTGTAGCCTAATTTTGCACTGCTTTAACTCAACAATCGCTGGTTTTTGATCTCAAATTTATACCATAGAATCCTCCAATCATTCTTCGTAAACTACATCCTTGGGGGTAAAAAATGATCTTCATGTTTACTGAATAAAATAAAATTATCAAACCATTTCTACCTCAAAACGCAAAAAGCTATTTCCTGAAAGTTTGAAATTTATTCGCTACTGCAAAAATTTGGCACACCGCGGTGCAAATTTATATCCACAGTATAGAGGAGGCTTTGCACTACTATCACTTTTTTATCAGAAAAAATACTAGGCTACAAGACTTTTGGAACACCCTGTAGTATCGCAACTCTAAGTACAGTTGTGAATTTCTAGCCTAATACAAGAGCTAGTCCAAAAAATATCAAATTCAGTTCCCTTTCCTGGTTTTTAGATGCCAATTTTGATGTTTTTTGCAAAATTTTTCTTGTAGAAGGGTATAAATTCATGGTTATACTCAAAGGTTGTGATATACAATTATCAGAGTGCAAACAGCTTACCATCGCTTTGGAAAAAACATGGAAATGTTTATTTCGTCGATTTCCACTCGAATATTAACGAATGTCCGATGTGAGGAGTATATCTGCCAGACATAGGGGCTTGTGGATTTTTTGTGCAGCGCTCTGATTCGTGATTCGAATAATATCACGAAACCTATGTATAATACAAAACTTGACAAAAACTGGCTTACTGTGATTTTGTCTTATTTAGTGCAAAACTTTTGTTACAGCCTTTTGGGAATGAAGAGTATATAAGTTTATAAAGAGTTTTAAACAGGTTCCACAAATCTCGCATTAAAACATTTGAGCAATTGTAAAGGAGAGGCATAGAATTGTTAAGGCTTGCTCAAAAAAGGCTAAAAATTCATTGTAATGTGATTTTTTTACGACCTAGTCTCTCGAAGGAATCGTGAAAAAATGTGCTAGTCGGGTGTCTTTATTCACAAATTCTTTAGTTCAGGTGAATAATATTTTTTGATTCTGTCCAGGGTAAAGCTAGCGTATACGCAAGAAATTGCAACCTATGGTATTAAAATGAGATATGTACTTATAATACTAAAAGGTGCACACATTTGATCAAATTTTTTTGCGCAAGATTTACGGGAACCCGTTGGAGAGGTTCGAATTGTAAGAAATAGATAAATAAAAGTATTGCGTAAAAATTCTGTATCAGATTCAGAAATCAAAAATTTCGGCTTCTAAATAAAATTGACCATTCGAGAAGAATGAAAGAGTCCGAATAACCCTTGAATGTTACGAGAGTCGATAGTTTCTCCAAGCAAACGAGCAATTTGTAAGAAAAAATTTGGAAATTGTTGAAGAAAGGAGATTCATGAAGAAATGAATGAAATGTGTTGTAACTGCTAAGGAAGAAACAGTAGTTGAGAGACGTTCAATCAATGCCAATCAAGGTCGTTATAGCACGAAATGATTTGCCGTAGAGAGAAAAGATGTGTTTCTGTAATGGATGTGGTTGCCATTTTGTGAGAAATGCAAAACGTTTCGTTTCCAGTTTATCTCAAACACTTTCATATACACATAAAAATAATTAGGTGGTTCTTGAACATCAACCAATTTCTCTTCATTTTGTTGGCATTCTCGTGAGTTATTATTCTTTTGGCAAGCAAGATAACAACCAAAAGAAAAAACCCAAGGACTTCTAAATTTGCGCAAAAATTTTCTTTCCATTTTTTGCAACGAAATATTCGTTACTCAATTTACGATCCATGGTTTTTGTTTTCTGACGGTACACAAACGATCATGACAGCAACCGTTCCATGCCGAACAACTTTTTATGCGAAATTTCATGCCTCGATAGATTGATTCATAGCGATTAACAAAAACAGCCGCAGACACAGTTGCACTGATTTTTCCAATTTTTCCTATTTAATTTCCAACCTGGAAACCCTCCCACTGAATGTTAAAAGGTCGAAAAAAAAAGAAAAAGTAAAAAAAGAAGTTCACCTGACGCCAACGCTTTTCAAGAAAGAAAAATGGATAAAAATAGAATAAGCAAAGCTACTACTAAATACACTATAGATCTTATTTAATTAAGAACTAAGCACTCCAAATGTGCAGAAAAACATTTGAGAGATAAATGAGTAATTTTTAGAATGTAAAGTTGAAAATTGGCAATCAAGATCACATTTTGAGTTCGAAAAAATAATAAGGAATTTTACTCTTGTTACTTTTTTGGTGCTGAGTGGAAAAAAAACTTACTGCAGTCTGATTTTTATATTTTTTAGAAACGATTATTATATTGTTCTCACAGAAAATGCATGAACTGTTAATAAAATTTTGAAATTTTTAGTGCAGAAAAGAAATCAAAAATTTGGTTTTGAGTGCATTTATGAAATGTGAAGGTCTGTAACTATGCGAAGTGTCTGCAATGCAAAGTAAAGAGTAACTTGTGCAAATAAACCGGGAAACAAGGGTAAACAGTGTAAAAATTCTTGATGTTTCGATTCGTAGCATTGAATGACTCCGCTCGCAATGTATGTTCTTACATCGTCGCAAATGAGTGAGAGTTTCTGATAGTTTTCTTACGGGCAAGGAATTATCGAGGAGCATCTTGAGCGATGAAGGGTGTGTACAAACATAGCAGAAAGTGACAGATTTGATAAAATTCTAGCCTTCAGCCAGATTTTACGCGTTGATTCTGAATGGAATAATGGTGGGCAATTCCGATGCGAAGCGTAACGCGCACAATGAAATGGGCAGTTTTTAGCAAATAGATGAGTCAAAATGAAGATTTCCAGCTGACCAAAGGCTGACTATACGATCTTGCAGCCCTGACAATCAAGAGATATGGAAAATATACGGTTTGAAAGCTTTACTGTATAGTTGCTAGCTTACCTTATAAGTGCTATAAGACCCGAATCGATCAATCGTTCGGGCCCCCTCGACCACTCCCCCATACAGCCAACGCCTCCCGACACCAAACCTGTCCTCGCTCCATGATAACACATTTGCCGTCATCAAGGTCGATTATAATGCAAAGCGAAACCGGGTAATTATCAACGGGAAATTGCTGGAATTTTTAAGAATCGAAATTGCTTTGAAAAGTGCCTTAATGGCTTCGAAACACGACAATCACGCACTTCGAAACACGACAATCACGCACTAGATGCGAGGAACAATTACGCTTGGACTACTTTTTTTTCAATTTTGAGCCAAAATCAGCTGCCATTTATATTTTTGCTCTTCCTATTGAACTGCTATTGAGGAAATAGAGGAAATTTCAGCGCACTTGAAAAGTCCGCGTGGTTTTTGAAAATTCCTCTGTGTTTAAAAAATGCAATTGTAATTAAAGCTTTTGTAGCCATGACAAGACCGCAGCTGTTCCAAAAATTTTGTTTCTTCATCACTTACTCAGGAATAGTGGATGATTTGTAATACGAGCGCACTTGCTTCTCATCACCCCACGCGCAACACTTTGACCATTATCTTCTTCTTGCAAAAAAAAAACTATGGTCTCGTGCGCGACCATGGAAGCAGCCTGGAACGAACTTGAGAACTAAGAGGCGTCAGGAGAATTTTTTACAGCCTCAAATATTGTCTGTGAATTTCAGGAAAGCTAAAATGCTTTTAAAGGATCCAAGTGAAGTTCTGCTCGAAGGGACGGGATGATTGAAGCTATGACGAGCCATTTTTTAGCGAAGATGGCTAAAAAATTGCCGCGGAAATTTACAAAGATACTTTTACTAGCCCGCACTAGTTATCACTAAATTTCTGCATTTTTTCCATCATATAGTGCTATTTCTGGCACTGTTCAGTGCAAAATGCTCTTTTTGAGATAATATCGTACTTACATTTGAAGATCGAATATTTTATAACAAACTAGCTGGCTTACCCGGCTCCGCCGTATCCGGACCAAACTTGGCACACATACACTTCGGGCCCCGGCGGGTGTCACAGTCCACTTTTCGTTATCGATCGATGTCGATTTTACCGATTTTTATCGATTTTTTTGCAGAGTTCACCTACAGGGCTAGGAGTTGGCACAGGGGGGGGGGAAGTGAGCATGGGGATTCCGAATACAATATTAGTTTTCAGAATTATCGATTGCTTTTATTGATTTTATCGATTTTTTGTAAATTTTGACATGCGAGGCTGGGATTTTGCACAGGGGGGTAATCGAGCATGCTGATCACGAACACAATATTAGTTTTCAGGATCGTCCATTACTTTTATCGATTTTATCGATTTTTTTGCAAAGTTTGACCTGCGGGGCTGGGAGTTTGCACAGAGGGTAATCGAGCATGCAGATTACGAATACAATATTAGTTTTCAAGATCGTCCATTACTTTTATCGATTTTATCGATTTTTTGAAAATTTGAGCTAGGGGGCTGGAATTTGGCACAGGGGTGTTCGAGCATGCTGATCACCCCCCTTGGGGATGATCAGCATGCTCGATTACCCCCCTGTGCCAACTCTCAGCCCCCTAGCTCAAACTTTGCAAAAAATCGATAAAATCGATAAAAGTAATCGATAATCCTGAAAACCAATATTGTATTCGGAATCTCCATGCTCGATTACCCCCCTGTGCGAACTCCCAGCCCCGTAGCTCAAACTTTGCAAAAAAATCGATAAAATCGATAAAAGTAATCGATAATCCTGAAAACCAATATTGTATTCGGAATCCCCATGCTCGATTACCCCCCTGTGCCAACTCCCAGCCCCGTAGCTCAAACTTTGCAAAAAAATCGATAAAATCGATAAAAGTAATCGATAATCCTGAAAACCAATATTGTATTCGGAATCCCCATGCTCGATTACCCCCCTGTGCCAACTCCCAGCCCCGTAGGTGAACTCAGCAAAAAAATCGATAAAAATCGATAAAATCGATATCGATCGATGACGAAAAGTAGCCTATGACACCCGCCGGGGCCCGAAGTGTATGTGTGCCAAGTTTGGTCCGGATCGGTTCAGAAATGGAATTTTCTATTCGGAACATACGTACATACATACATACATACATACAGACATACAGACATACAGACAAACAGACATTCAGCTTTATATATAAGATTAGCTTGCAACATCAAGACTGTTGTTGATTCAGATATTATTTCAGACTTTGAATTGCATCAGCAGCACTGACTTATTCTATCACCTTGGAGTGAAATGAATTTAAATTTCATTTCATTTTCATTTGTATATCTGACAAGGAAGCGAAACTATGTCCGTGGCCTTCTGAGATGAGATGTACACCATTACACTTGTCTTGGAGCGCTGTTCCGAATCTGACTTCCGCTTTTGCTAACCTTTCACCGATGAAAGTTATGAAGGATTTTCGCGCCAATGGAAATATGGTCGGAATGCCAAGAGCGCCGCTACGACGTGGTGTAGTGGCTAGTGCGATAGCCTCACAAGTTAATGCAAGTTTAGATCCCAGTCCAGTTCTAAATGCTCCTTAATGTTAGAAAACTCTGTTGCGATGGTGGAGATACCCCCAAGTAACCTAAAAGGTATTTTGGTCCGCAATCGCATCTACGATCGCACCTGCACAACGCCTAATTGCATTATCTGCCCTGCGGGCAGGGGCGGGGACTGCATGACGTCAGGGGTCATCTACCTAATCACCTGCGCGGGCTGCGGCGACACGTATATCGGCGAAACGGCGCGCCCTCTATGCGTCCGCATTAAGGAGCATTTAGACGGCAGGGATAGATCACGCACGACCACACCTCTAAGCACTCACAGGCTGCTGAAGCACGCTGGAGAAAACTTTGAAGTTTCAGTGAAGATCTTAGCGCATGAATCCCAAACATCAGCTCGCAAATGTTTGGAAGCCTTTTGGATTCACGCAAAAAGTCCACAAATGAATCGCAAGGAGGAGTGCCTCTCTATCACTCGTGAACTCGCACCTTACCTGGGTCACCTCTTTTGACTCACTGTAGGCATATAAATAGCGTGGCATACATGGCCATTCATTAGCGCTCGCTCAGGCACTTGTATGCTATCGGCATTTTCAAAAAGGTAAGTGTTTGGTTTGGCAGTCTAGTCAGTGAACAGGCAGAGCCCTAGAACTTTGCTTGTGGAGCTGCAGAGACGTTTGATCGGATAGGTTGCAGATCGTTTTGCTCATTCCAGGCTCTGAAGAAGGCGATCTGCCGAAACGTCAGCCACCCAATAAATTATTGTTACCAATCTCGAGTGCGGCTTACATAAACAACTACAAGATCCCAGTCCCTTTGTGTTATTCCGTTTCGCATTGCCTCAATCAAGCTTCTTTTTCAAAAGTTGGGCATCCTCGACCATATTTCTCTTGAGCGACCACTGACGCGAAAATACCTCACAACATCTTTTAAAGAAAAGATTAGCAGAAACGGAAGCCAGATTCGAAATCAGCGTTCCAAGACGAGTATGATGGTGAACGCTTCATCTCAAATGGCCACCGACACCAAGTACAATACCGCTCATAATTGGTCAAAAAAGTCGCCGGACTGCGGCGCACTCCGCCGCACTCCGCCGCGGTGCGCCGGAATGATCCTCAATTTAGCCATATCTCGCTTCAGAATGGACGAATTCTGGATCCGAGGACACCGTTCGATTCAGCTCGGCGAGACGCATCATCTTATATATGAGGCTAAACGTCTGTTTGTCTATTTGTCTGTACGTATGCAGCGAATAGAAAAATCCATTTCTGAACCGATCCGGACCAAACTTGGCACACATACACTACGGGCCACGGCGGGTGTCACAGGCTACTTTTCGTCATCAATCTACATCGATTTCATCGATTTTTATCGATTTTTTTTGCAGAGTTCACTTACGAGGTTGGGAGTTGGCACAGGGGGAGGGTAAGTGAGCATGGGGATTCCGAATACAATATTAGTTTTCAGAATTATCGATTATTATTTTGGTTGAATTCAGTGTGCTGATAATAGTATTACCATTGATCTGTCGCTGATGGCACATAGACAGTATACTACAGGAGTATGATAGAGAGCCACTCTGATCGAATTTGTTCTAAGATCTGCTCAAGATCACAATACCGCCCACAGAATGTCAAAATTTCCGTGAACTTTGCGAAATTCCGGAATTTCCGCGAGAGTGCGCGATAATCCGGGAAGTTCGTGACATTTCAGTATCCGCGAAACCATGCGAATCACGCAGAGTACGCAACGCCATAACTTCCTTCGGAATGAATGTATTCCGAATCCAGAAGCAGCATTGTGTTCAGACCGTCGAGGCAAACATTTAGATATACAGTATGCTCTCGTATACCATTTCCAGTTTTTTCGAATTTTTTTCTGTGGAGGTCCTTTCGCAAAAATGTAACGCAGCGTCTGTGTAACATAAAAGATTCCAGTAAGCACTGTTCGATAGTACTGTTCTTGTAGGTTATCGTGCGTTCAAGAGTAGCTGCAGACTGTCTTCCAAAAGAGATAGAAGCGTTGGTGAATTTTGGAAAAAATCACGCGTTTCTAAATTCTACTCGCCGTAACCTTCGGAATGAACATATTCTGAATCCGAAGAAAGCTTTGTGCTCAGTTCATCAAGGCAAGTCTTCCTATATACAGCGTATCCTTGATATTCCGATTTGAATATTCTCAAATCTTTCTGTAGACGTCTCTTCGCGAAGGTGTAAAGCAGCGCGCATTTCCCCTAGTAGACTTCAGCAAGGACGTTTCGATAGTACTTTTTCTGTAGATTACGTAGCGCTAAAAAGTAATCACAGGCATCTTTCCAATGGAGGTAAAAAGGCTGGTAAATCATAAAAAAATCTTGTTGTCCCAAATTCTACTCGTCGCAACCCTAGAATACGAGGCTATCTTGTTAAGCAGATGTGAGTTTTGTAATCACCAGGTTGGATAACCCTTATGAACAAGTTTTCCGAGATGTTCGGGTGATTTCATTTTTTCTTGTCTGACGCTCTGAAGCTCGCCGGTGGATTTTGGCCAAAATGTTGATGATCTTTTGGTCAAAGAAACGCCGCTCATAGAGCGGCGTTTCTTTGACCAAAAGATCA